GAACAGAAAGAAATTCAGTCACTGGAAAATGGATAGAATACCTGAAAGCAGATTAGGAAGGGTAGATACACACTTTCTCCCTCTGGGCAAGGGAAAAAAAAAAAATCAAAGAACCAAAGAGAACTATAAAGATGATTACAGATTTAGAATATAAAATTCCCAAAGAACCATTAAAGAAATTAAAATTACTAGTCATGGGGGCGGGGGGGGGGGGGGGGGGGGGGGGGGGAAAGCAACCAGACTGAATGAGGGTTCATTCATTAATGTCCTTCCAGTTTATGAATGAACTCATTTATGGGGACAACAAACCCTCTGGTCTTCATGTTGAACCAAAAAGTAGGAGTAACACACAACATGCAGAACTATGAGGCTGGTAAGTGTGAAAGCTGGCATGACTTTTGAACAGTATATATGCCACAAAGTTTACAAGATCAAGAATCTTACGAGCTTTGTTCTAGTGTTGTCTGCAATTAATTAAACCAATGTGACCTCAGGCAACTTACAGAATTTCTCTGAACTCAGTTTCCTCATCTGTGCAATGAATATAAAAACAAGAGAAAAATATTGGACTCGGGATTCAAAAAATTGCCTTTGTCACTTACTGCTTGTACAAATCTGGGCACATTATGTACCTTGGAATCCTCATCTATAAATGGAAAATAAGTAGTATCATCCACATACCATCAATCAACCATATTGAGAAGATTAAATAAATACATGCAAAGCACTTAGCACAGTGCCCAATTCAATTAGGGTTATCTGCTGTTTTAGCAGGGATTTTTTGTTTTTGTTTTTGTTTGGGGAGGGGTGGGTTCTGCTTTTGTTTGTATTATGTGCAAGTAGTAGAAGCTAATATTGGTTGATTAAGCAGAAAATGGGTTTATTAAAAGGATACTGGTTCACAGAACCAATTGATTTCAAGAACAAGATTCAAGAAATAAGCTTTTAGGAATGAACCCCAAATATCACAAATCTTGAATATGAAAATGCATCCACAGTCACAGAATGCTCAAAATTAGAGTTTGTGTCATTAGAACTTATGCACAACTCAATTTTCCTTTATTATAACTATGGCTATCCCAGCTATAAGGGGAAGTAGAAAATCAACTATCTGGCCATTTAACATCTGCAGAAGAAGGCAGTTCATCCCAGATTCTCCAGATGTGTGTGTGTGTGTGTGTGTGTGTGTGTGTGTGTGTGTGTGTGTATAATCAGATGCCAGGTGGCCAAAACGAACTCAATCTGTTTGACTTTTACACTAAGATTTATTGCTTGGAGTCATTTGTTAAAGGTTGTGCAATTTTATTCGATGTCAAGAATAAGGTTTACATAATCCTTTAAAGACTCCATGATTCCATCAGGAAAGGCTTAAAATATCCAGGGACAGAAGGAACTTCCAAATACTGACATATAAACAGAGTTACTGGGTAGGCTTGGTATCCAATATTTAAGTTAAAGTCCCTGGGTTTATTGTTACCATTAGATCATCAGTTTTTAATTTCCATAGTTGAAGATTTCCATCTATACATATTTGACTAGGGAGAGTGAACGGTTTCCAAGTCTTCAATTGAGAAAATAAAAATTCTCAGAGTTGAATGAACATTCTCTCATGGAAAAAATAATCCTATATTCTTTCTCTCTGAACTATTAATATATTTGTGCTTTGGGGGGGGGGGGGGTACATTCCACAAGAAGAACATTAGCCAGAAGGGGAAAGAGCAATTATAATTGGGCTTTATCTATTTTAAACTCAACTATAAAAAAAAAAAGTGTCTAAAATACCAGCAATCCAGCTCCCAACTGTCCTTTCTGAGCAAGAGAGATATGCTGACCCCATGACTAATGCTGGTGCCTGTCTCAGCCTGGCCTGGAGCTCCACCACTGGTGCATTCCAAGCCCGGTGGGTGGTTCATAAAGCAAATCCCTCCCCCGCCCCCCCCCCCCCTCCGTGCATGTACCCTGTGGCATCTCTGAATAAGTCTGACCCTTTGGGATCCCAAAAATATTCTTGGGGAATTTAATTCAAGTGTTTATAGAAACCATGGAAAGGTTTCCTGCCCAATCCTTTTGGCTCTTAAGCAGATGAATTCTCCGACCTATGCACATGATTTGCACAAAATAGTTTGGTGACGTTTGTAGCAATTATAGTAAGGAAGAAAGGTGAAGGGAAAATTTACAGAGGCCATTGTGTTCATTGCCTATTTATTTTTCAAACACACAAGGCTTGTCAAATCAGAAATTCTGGTATGTTACTATTGTGGGATGGAAACTTGGTTTCCTCAACAGGAAGAGTAAAAATACTGTAACATTCACTCTAAGTTGTTTCCAATAATCCACTGAACAGTATGTCTGGACATTTGGGATATACAAAAACGGCCCAAATGATCACCATCAACCAACCACATGGTGAGAGTTAACCCAAAAAGGCAGGCCACAGTTTGGAAATAGAAAAATGTCTCCATATAAGCAATAAGTATGAGGTATTCTCTCCCCCCCAAAAAAATTATGTAATAAAATAATTGGAAATTGAAAGGGATTTTTAATGCAACAGAGAGGTTTCAAGCTAATGGCAAGATAATTTTTTTCATAAATAAATACTTAAATGTATGGATCTGTTATAAGTGATGAGGTTCCCATATAACACGGCAAAAAAATGTAGCTGGTGGACTTTGAAACCAGCCTGCCCGAGTTCAAATCCTGACTTCAGTTCCCAACTCAGCAAATTACTTAAAACTCTGTGGGCTTCTGTGTAAAATGGGGATAGTAACAGTCCAGAGCCCATGATGGTGTTTGAGGATTAGAACAGAGTCTGGCTATATAGGCATTTGTAAGAAGGTAAGTAAATAAAACATTCAATATTGTCTCCGAAAATATTCAATTTATACTTTTCAGGGCATTCTTAGTTGGCATATAACTCATTGGGTTCTTAACTTTTTAAAATAAAAATGTCAAACATTTCACTTCTTTTATTTCTCAGCACTAATAAATATTTGCTCCTGGATAATCCTGCAAGAATACAGGGAAGAAGAAAAAATACAAGAATTCTAGAAGCAAATATTTAAATATTTAGTAAAATGAAAAATATTCAGTCATTTAAAGCAAAAAGTAATCAAGGCAAGGTAGATCACCCATCTGACATTTTTTTTTTTAATTTAGAGCAACATAATATAAATTACTAGGATTAAAAATGTGATCACAACCACAAACATCATTGAAATACTGTGCTCTAAAAAACCTTGGTGCTAACACATAAAATAATTGAGAAAATAATCAAGTTGGCATATATAAAGATTTATCAGTGAAGCTGGAAGCTGTTTTACTATGTTTCAAACAACAATTATTGTACAAAACAATATTTGTTTTTAAATGTTTTGTATTGATTTCAGACAAAAAAAAAAGTGAGAGGAAGAGAGGGATAGAAATATCAATGATGAGAATCATTTTGTCACCTACTTCTTGCACACCCCTACCTGAGACTGAGCCTGACAACCCAGGCATGTGCCCTAACTGGGAATCAACCACAACCTCCTGTTCATAGATTGAATGCTCAACCACTTAGCCACACTTGGGCTGTTGTTTTTAATCCTCGCCCAAAAGTATTTTTTATTGATTTTTAGATAGAGAGGAAGAGAGGGTGGAGAGGTAGAGATGGGGATGGGAGGGGAGAAGGAGGGAAAGAGAGAGAGACTTACTCATCCCAACCAGGAATTGAACCAGCAACCTTTTGGTGTACAGGACAAAGCTCCAACCTACTGAGCCACCTGGCCAGAGCACACAACAATGTTTTTAAACAATCCACATATTTTTTTTAAATATGTATAAAAAGTATTTGGAAAGGAAGTGCAATCTTTCAATAATAACTATATCTATGGATGGGTAGGATGGTGCATTTAGGAACTTTCTTTTTACCTTATACATTACTAAGTTTTTTCCAACATGTATCATTTTATAGTATAAAACGTATTAAGTGTTATTTGTAGAAGTTAGTAATGCATATTGATCTCTGGTCCCTTATAGTTTCCTTTCTTCAAAAATCACACACAATGGTAACGAGTTCTGGCTATACTTAAGTGTAAAGTAAATTTACCTTTTTCAGCAGATCTACAGTGGTGGATTAGGCCTACACATCACATTAAACCGGAATTACTTTTAAGTCCTAAACCTTTAGAAAAATATAGCTGTCATTTCAGAAAAGCACCCATGCTATTCCTCCCTCCCCAAATAAGGACCTGAAATTAACCAAGGACTTGTTAGGACAAAGGAAAAAATAGAAACTAATTCTATTTGGACAGAGGGCAGCATTATTCCCCACAAAGAGATCCAACATTAGTAAACACCTCTCACCACTTTGTCAACTTTGGAAATAGATTTAAGTCCCTCACCAGCTACACCCCAAATTAGCCAGCCGCTCCTTCCAAGAGTAATCTGCACAATGTTTCTATTTAGGGTCTTGTGTTGCCTTCCTTGGCCTATGAAACCACCGAAATTCAAAAATGCAAGAAGAGAATTAATAACCAAGAAATATATATCACATGCCAAGCGCAGTCCATACATATCTGGTGCATTCCCTCCTTGAATCTAAAGCTGACATTGTCCTCACTGTGCTTATGAGACCATTGAGGTTCTGAGAAGTCATCTGTCCAAGGCTAGTGAGTCACAGAGCCAAGGAGTCCAGCTACAGGGCACTGACCACCACACTACACAGCCTCCACAGTGGATCCCAAGGGTAGTCAGATCCTTTGGTGATGAGGTGATTTTGAGTGGCACCAGAAAATAAGAACCCCTTATATCTGTTCAGCACTTTATCAGTGTTCACATGTGATATTAAAATCCACATGCAGAGACTTACATGGTTTTTACTCCCTCTGGCCCGTCCACTATTATCTGTCAATGATAAGTTTGTTTCTAACTGTGAATAATTCTGAAAAATAATGGAGAAGCTTGGACTAAAGATCTCTCGTTTTCTTCTGTCCCCCATTCAACCTCCCCTGGATTTGCAGGAAAATGGACAAAGAAAATACGGGGGCCCTCCACCTGGCTGGGATGCTGCGCCCCCAGAAAGGGGCTGTGAGATCTTTATTGGGAAACTCCCAAGAGACCTTTTCGAGGATGAACTCATACCGTTATGTGAAAAAGTGAGTCCGTGTTTAGATTTGGGAAAAAGTACTACTGTTGTCACTTTGCTTTCATGCTCGTTTTTCCTCGTCAGGGATGATGTCTTCCAATCGCTATTTCTCAAGCAGATAAAACCTTCCTACCTGCTGGTGACGGTCTCAGCCCCTTATCCTCTTATTGACAGCTTCCCATGAGCTGCTACTGACATCATCACTAATGACCGTCAAATATCTATTTCATACCCCAGTCTCCACTGGCATGCCACCTCACTGCCAACTCCACGTGCCTATCAATACAGACTGACACTACAACCCCCTGTCTGAAAACAGAGACTGCTTCCACTTGGCATGTTGATATGTGTGCAACACATTTACATAAATATAACAGGGAGGTTTGTCACAGCTCAGAAGTGTGGCTATTATGTATTGGCCCAGAATAAAAATTTTTGAATTTCTTGTCCACCCTAATGTATCAACAAAATTAATTATATAATTATTAGGGTTCTCAAAGTAATTATGCAACTGTTAAGGGATAAATTTCCTCAGTTTTCGTTCAAATGGTATATTTTTTCCCCCCAAATGATATTTTGTTACTAAACCCCAATGAAATGGACAATACAAAATTCATAGTTATTTTCAATATTTACCAAGTGGTGTTTAAACAACCACATTCCTAGAAAATTCAGTAAAATCAGTTTAGCTACTTATTTTTCCTAAATGCCAAAACCAGTGTGCTTGCCTGTGACTGTGTGTGTATGTGTGTAACTCAGCCTCAGAACTGCATCTAATTTTATACATACAATCCCCCTTGGGCTGTGGCCAAATTATGGACTTAATCCTGTAGATTAGAATCTTAAACACTAAACCTGAAAACAAGCAGCAAGAAACACCTGAAACACAGCAGTGAAACATGTTGAACGCTTTCCCAATGAGCCCAGAAGAAATAGGTGTCCCTCATTGAATGCCTTGGGGTGGTCAGGTGGGTGAGACTGAGATGAGAGGTAACCCACCAGTGTGTAACAGCATATGCTGAATGATGCTTCTTCTCCCCACACGTGCCCCTCATATCTATTTAGCCACCCTTCTTACAGCAGCCAGCAAGCATGAATTGCTGAGCCTGTATTTCAGGAGAACATTTACGGTATCAAGTAGTATATTGGCAAAGCAGAGTGGCTATAGCCAAAGACGTAGTGAGTACCCTCCTGGGTGGAGGTCCTAGCCCTGGTCAGCTGTTTTAAGACCAGCCTTTACCACCTTCAGCCCACAGACTCTGAAATAACAGATTATCCTCTGAAACACAACGTCATATCAATTTTGATGTCATGGTGGGGGGAAAATGAGCTAAAGAGATTTAGCAAGGGTCCAAATTAATGTTCCTGGTTTTCCTTTTAAGTAACTGTGGTAGAGTATTACCAAGTAAATATCACACTAAAGAGACTTCAGAGGCCAATGGAGAGGGCAAGGACGAATCTATCAAGAAATTGTACTTCTGATGACAAATGTGTTTTCAGATCCCAAAAACAGTGTATAAATCCCCCGATAGCTATGTGGTGAAAGGTCATTTGCTCTGTCAACAAAAATATTCTGTTAACTCCGGCTGAGATGCCACTTGTATACTTTTTTAAAATTAACTTGCCTGTGCCCAGGAGTCAGATAATGGATCCAAACCACACACGTGCAAACCATTCCATCTGGAATGCAAATGTCAAATATGGCAGTGACTGACTTCAGAAAGTGTTGTGTGCACGTGTGGACATGTGTGGTCATTTGGAAGCACAAATGCATAAATATGAATTTCTCGTTTTCTTTATAGATTGGTAAAATTTATGAAATGAGAATGATGATGGATTTTAATGGCAACAACAGAGGATACGCCTTCGTAACATTCTCAAATAAACAGGAGGCCAAGAATGCAATCAAGCAACTTAATAATTATGAAATCAGGTAAGCAGAACAGACACCCCAGAGCCAACCTCACCTGCCTCCACTCGGCCTTGTTTCAGTGGAACCCGCCAGAGAGAGAACCTTTCTAAAGATCTAGTAGCAAACCAGTTTTTTAAAAGAAAACTTTAAAAAGAAACTGAATGATTACTTTGTCAACTTTTCCCTTCCACCCTACTCCAAAAACACATGTTCCCACAGTGACGGAGACGAACCTGTCACAGATCTGATCCGTAGACCTTGGTTCTTCAGGAAAGCAGAGAAGGCAACTAGGACACTGGCCCAACCCTCGCCAGAATACCTCTCACACATATAAACCACTATTTCCAAGAACTCGGCATTCTCCCACTCACCTGGGTGGGTCTTTTCGACCATGACAAACAAGTGGTTTCTGTTAAGGGAACCTGGGCCATTTTTAATAACTTTGTGTTATTACCAAAGTCACACAGCCTGATTCACAGCACACACACACACACACACACACACACACACACACACAAAACATCCTACAAAGTTATAAAAGTTAAACCATTCCTCCATAACCCCATTGCCCCAAGATAATCACAATGTTGATTTTTTTTATTGTCTTTTTGGATTTTCTATAGGTTTAATAAAAATGGCCTTCTCACATATTTAATTTGTAGCCTTTTCTAAAAAAAATCCTGCAGCATATCATGAACTGCCTTTTTAAATCAATAAATATGCTTCTCCATTAGTATGTTCAATGACTGTCGCGCATTCTATTCTATGAATGCCCGTCTTTTGTTAACTAGTGCTTCTCAGCAGGCAGCATCATTGTCCATCTTAGGGGACATTTAGAAGTGAGAAGGCACTTTTTCAAAGACCTAAAGGGTAGATACTGGCATTTAGTGGGCAAGAACAAGGATGACAACTATACTATGGTACACGATGAGGAAATGTCTGGCCCCAAAGTCAGTAACATCTCAGTTGAGACATTAAACCAGTCCCATATATTGGGATATTTTGCTCATTTCCCATTTGGAGGCAGGTTATCTTAAATAACAAGGAATATCCTTATACATAATACTTGGTACTCATCTGTTTCCCTAAGATCCCTTTCAGAATGGACATTATTTGGTCACAGATTTTGCACACTTGAGACTTTTTTGCCAATGTTTCCCAGAGAAGTTTAGTCAATCTGCCAAAGAAGGTGTACTTTGACTTGTTACTAAGCAACACAGTTCGGTGGAAGAAGCAGGAATTGAACCGAGAGCCCAGCAAGTCACTTAATTTCTTGGAGTCTCAAGTTCTTCCTCTGTGAAATGGAAAAAACACCTCCACCTACCTACAGGCTCTAGTGGAGGCAAAATAAGATAACATGTAAAAGTCTGTTCAAGCAGAGGGACTGTTTTTAATAGCAATCGTGTCAGAATAGCATCCCAATATGTATAGAAAAGAAGAGAGCAGCAGAGGTTGCAAATTCAAATACCTTTGGGCCAGGCAGAGACCTGAGCAATGTGGGCAGGTATAGAGGTCTCAGCAATGGGCACGTTTTCGGGAGGAGTAAGAACTGACAATGGAGCACCCACATCTAATCTAAAGACAGCAGATGCTATTCAGCTTCAAATACCATGTGTGGTTTTTTTCTTTAAAAATATAGAGCAAATCTGGCCAGTGTGACTCAGTGGTTGAGTATTGACCCATGAATCAAGAGGTCTCTGGTTCAATCGGTTGCAGGCTCCATCCCCAATAGGGGGCATGCCAGAGGCAGCCAATCGATGTATCTCTCTCATCAATGATTCTATCTTCTTCTAAAAATCAATTAAAAATAAAAAAGAGATTCAGAGTCCATAGCAGCCTACTCAAGCCTTGTGACTTCATGTGGAATGCAGTGTACTTTAAATATATATATATATTTAGAGAGAGAGAGAGAGAGAGAGAGAGAGATCAATGTTGACAGATTTTCCAGTTTCTCAAAAGCAGTCACAACTTCCCCAAAATAGTTTAATCACTATAAAGTCCAAACATCCCACATGTATAGGTTATATCAGGTGCAAGGCCATACTTTTTCAGCTTCTATTAATCACAATTGGGTCCTCGCCAATCAAACGTGTGCTCCTTTTGCAGAAATGGGCGTCTCTTAGGGGTCTGCGCCAGCGTGGACAACTGCCGATTGTTTGTTGGGGGAATTCCCAAAACCAAAAAGAGAGAAGAAATCTTAGCAGAAATGAAGAAGGTAACCGAGGGCGTTGTGGACGTCATTGTCTACCCGAGTGCTGCCGACAAAACCAAAAACAGAGGCTTCGCCTTCGTGGAATACCAGAGCCACCGGGCTGCTGCCATGGCCCGCAGGAAACTCCTCCCAGGTTAGCAACCCCCCAGCTCACACCCCAGTCTCCCACTCCATCCTGCCTGCCTCACTGCTGTGCTCCTTAGCAAAGGAAACAAGTGTTTGCTGTCTTTGTGCTGCTTGTTATGTTTTAAACTCTTTACCCTTCTTATTTCAAAGTAAATTAAGTCCCCTAAAGTTTTCACAGAAAGGGTTCTGATTCTATGCATTAAGTCTAATTTACACACATCGGAGAAATTTAGAAGTCTAAGCTCCAGCAATCCTATCATGAATCCCTAAAGTAAAGAAGTTTCTTAAAATTAAATATATCAACAGTTATTTTTATGGAGATATTTTGTGATCAGGTTTATTAGAAATAAGGTGTATAATCCATTACAATGTAGAAATAATAAATCTTCAAAGATACATTATCCCAATGACAATGAAGTGATATTCTTTTATGACTCCTACTATTTAATAATTTCTGCATAACTTGGAGAACAAATATAATAACTCTCTGTAGAAAGGGAGCTTTGCAAGGTGCTACAACCATAGGGTAAGTCCTATTTTGGTAATAACCACTGATTCCTAAATGTCAGACCTGTACACAAAACTGCCCCAGATAAACTTAGAAAATAATTATTGAAAGTCTTCCTTCTAATATATTTGCTCAGACTTACACAAAGCAAGGTATTAAAATGAATTAATATTAAAATGAGAAGATTTTCATAACAACAGACATCAGAATCAACTCTTCTCCTAACATGATGGGAGAGCTTCCAGAATTGAAAACCAAATTACAAAAACACCAGAACTTAGGTTGCCCTCATACTCATTCTTAAAGACAAAGCAAACCAACAGTAGGATTAGCCCGCTAGAAATTTCCAACATTGAAGATGGCTTCTGAGCTTGGGGAAGATTTTTTTAAAAGAATATTTTCATAGAGGCAGCTGAAAGTTAAAAATAAAAATAAAATAAAAAATGAGATGCACCCTTCCCCCAAAAAAATTGTTGTGTCCGTTAGAGAGGTGCATGTTTTTAATGTTGAAACTTCCATTTACTTTTTGCTCACTACCCAGTAGTCATGTCATCTGACTCACAGCTGCAGAGAATCATAAATGCCCCTCATGGGGCAAACCTAACCTCTCAGTGACTGGAACTTAATGTGTTGCTGCCCTCTTCAACTCTTTTTCAAAACCAACAATTCTGACATTGAAAAGTCCCTGTTTCAATCCTGTTCTTAGGAAATTATAATCTAACACAGATACCCAACCCCCTCAACCCCTATTCCCCATCCCCCAACCCTGTTCCCCTGCTTAGATTATTTTTCCAAGGTCTCCTAATTACTCTCCCATTTTTTGCTCTCTCTGATGTACCCCCAACCTCTGCCTACTCCATCCTCAACATTACTGTGAGATTAGCATTCCCAAAATATTGACCATCCTCTCCACAAATTCTTGCAAAGAGCAGAAATCCAATCTTTATCTGTTGATAGTTAAGGGATGTCACTCACTCATCAGTTCAAAAGCATTTACCCACCCCTTACTGCATAAGAGATAATGAATACAGTCAACTCTCAGCCTGCCTTTCAAGGCCTGCCATCCTTGACCCTAGTCTTTTACAACCATATTTTCTATCTTCTACTTCTCAATAAAAACTCTTTTTTTCTGGCAGGACAAACCTCTCAATGTCCTAGAGCAGTGGTTAGCAAACTCATTAGTCAAGAGAGCCAAATATCAACAGCACAACGATTGAAATTTCTTTTGAGAGTCAAACTTTTTAAACGTAAACTTCTTCTAACGCCACTTCTTCAAAATAGACTCGCCCAAGCCATGGTATTATGTGGAAGAGCCACACTCAAGGGGCCAAAGAGCCACATGTGGCTCGAGAGCCGCAGTTTGTTGACCACAGTCCTAGACAACACCATGCTAATCTTTGCCTCCTGGGCTCCTAAGGAGATTCCCCTTCCCCTCTGCTGACTGATGATGCTCAAAGCCCAGCTCAGCCACTGCTCCCCTGAGAAACCGGCCGCCACTCTTTCACATGGTCCCTCTCTCTCTTTGTAAAAGGAGATGTGTACAGTGGTTCTGGGACTGGGAGAGGGGTCAGTGAAAGAGTCCAGAAAGGAGGAAAATTCTCAGAGGCCAGACAGCCATGGCTTCTAGAGATTCAGAACTTCTTGTTTGCTTCCCCTCTCTTTAAAAAATCCAGCACATGGACCCACAGAAAGAACAGCTGTCCTTACCTGAGTGCAGCTGACAGTTAGGCAGGGCTGAGCAGCTGGGCTTCAGGAATTCCCAACCACGTTGTGCTGTGTCCACTGGAGGTCCTGGCTTTTCCCTCTGGACTCTCAGTCCGGATCCAGGAAGATGGATGCTCACTCCTTCACGCTCCCCACCCACTGCCTATCTTTATCACCATCATGGCAGTACCCCTCTCCCTGGTCCTTTAAATTGGCCTCAGCTGAGTGGAGTTTTGTTCAGCTGGAGTTCAGGCAGCCTGCCTCCTCAGCAGATCAACAAGACGGGGCACAGTGGTGAATCTCCAGCCTTAACAAACGGGTTCATTTCTACTGAGGCCTGAGAGCAAAATCTACCATCCGTCTGGACAGTCTATTATCCCACCATAGATTCAATAGCAACCAAGGATTTCTGCACAGCCTGGTTTTAAAGAATACAGAGGTTCTTAAGAAATATGATGGGCACAGCCCATGGGAAGCTTTTCCTTCTTAATTGATCGAAACATGGAGACAGAGAAAATTGTCTAAAGTGATGTTTTGGCTCCCAACCACCTAACTCCTATTACCAGTGGCAGCTCTTTTAACAAAATGCATCTTTGCTGAGATATGTATAGAATAAAGCTGTCACATTCCTACTCAGACATTACCAAAGAATAACAAAGGATGCTGGTTCGCCTGCATCAGAGTCACCTGGAGGGCAGGCTAAAGCAGATTGCTGGCCCCACCTCCAGCATTCCTGATTGAGTGGCCAGGGTGTGGTCTGACAATTTGCATTTAAAACAAGTTCCCAGGATTCTACTGCTCCTGAAATTACAAGTCTAAAGCAACCATTGTCCTTGGTGAGTTACAGTTTTGAAACCAACCCCGAGGAGGTTTTTAAACAATAGCAATACCCAAATCAACCTTTAATCAATTGAATCTGTTTCTCTGGGGTATGGAGCTGGGACAGTGGTGTTTTAATTTTCCAGGTGATTCTATTGTGCTGCTGAATTTGTTGATCCATTGCTACATCTATCAACTAATAATACTGAACACTCACCTGTATTGGGAGGTAAATAGGACTATGTAGGGACTATTCAGTATGGAAACATTATTAAACATCAGTAACATACCTTCTAATCTAAATGACAGGGGAGCCCTAGCCAGGTGACTCAGTTGGCTGAAGAATCACCCTGTATATCAAAAGATTGTGGGTTTGATTCCCAGTCTGGGCACATACGTAGGTTGGGGAAATATATCGCTGATCAAAAGGCAACTAATCAATGTCTCTCTCTCTCTCTCTCTCTCTCTCTCTCTCTCTCTCTCTCTCTCTCTCTCTCTCTCTCTCTCCCTCTCCCTCTCCCTCTCCCTCTCCCTCTCCCTCTCCTTCTCTCCCTTCCTCTATCTCTAAAATCAATCAAAATATGTGCTGGAGTTGGGTAGAGGGGGAAGAAGGGGGAAAAATGGGGACATCTATAATATTCTCAACAGTAAAATAAATGTTTAAAAAAAATCAAACAACACCTCCAAATTTCCAGGAGGTGCCAGTAAGTCTTCTACCAAATTGCTTCAGCCTAAGAGGAAGCCTGCAAACATCAGCTTAGTTCCGTGGTCCGCAAACTGAGGCTCTCGAGCCACATGCTGCTCAAAAGCCTCAGTTTGCCGCTCTGTTGACTAATGAGTTTGCCGACCACTATCATATACTACTCTTTACCTCTTTGCACACAATATGTCACAATTGCCTAATCCTCACAGCTTCCAACTACACGGTAACATTTAGTCTAGTACAGTGGTCAGGAAACTCAATACAGAGTGGCAAACCGTGGCTCTCGAGCCACATGCAGCTCGAGAGCCATGGTTTGCCGATCACTGGCTTAAATCATACCCCAGAGCTAGGCCCTCTGATGCCATCTCACCTACATTAACCACGTGGAAAGGCTTTCTCAGGTGAGGCCTGTTTCATTGAAGTTAGCTCACCACTGTCTCACCTTCACTTTTGAGTCTTAAAATTGGAAATAGTTCAAGATGGAATAGCCATGTCTCCTCAAATGAAGCTCAGATTATGGGAGCCAATGGGGTGGAAGAACACTATTTTATTTTTTTTAAATATATTTTATTGATTTTTTACAGGGAGGAAGGGAGAGGGATAGAAAGCTAGAAACATCAATAAGAGAGAAACATCGACCAGCTGCCTCCTGCACACCTCCTACTGGGGATGTGCCCGCAACCAAGATACATGCCCCTGACTGGAATCAAACCTGGGACCCTTGTGTCCGCAGGCAGATGCTCTGTCCACTGAGCCAAACCGGTTAAGGCAGAATACTGTGTTTTAAATGAAGATTTTAATTTAGCAGATGGTAGCAAGTAGATGCTGAAGTTTAAATAAGTATAACTGTAAGCAGCTCAGTTTTAATTTATGAGATCATTTCTTTGTCAGATAAAAAGGTTTGTCTTCCTATTTTCTTTCCTTCTTTCAATTTCCTTCCTTCCTTTGTTCCTCCCTTCTTTCTTTCCTTCCTTCCTCTCTTCCTTCCTTCCCCTTTTTAACAAAGTTGTAAACTCTGAAAGAGAAATTTAACTTTGGCTTGGCAAAGACCAGCCTTAAATAGTAAGAAGCTTGGGTCTGAGGTGCGGTTTGAAACATGTTGTCTATAATATAGAATTGTATACCTGAAACCTATATACTTTTATTAATCAATGCCACCCCAATAAATTAAAAAGAAAAGAAGAGATAAACATGTTGCCTAAAAGCAAAAAGCCAGGCTCTGGAGATAAGTGTGGTATTGGTGGTGATGGGTGTATGCAGGAGCTAGGTCTAGACTCTCAGTCTGCTCCAGGGGGTAGTGCCAAGGCCCCTCTTCTTGCCCCTCTTAGCCCAATTGGTTGTTGGAGCTTCAAGGCTTGGGCTGACCAGTCAAGCCTGCAGCCTCAGGAGTCCTTTGAGACTGAACTATGTGTTATCAATGTCTGCACTTGAGATTTTACCTGACAGACCTGAGTCCCCCCTATAATTCCTTCCCATGAGACAGAAGACCTGGGGAGGTTTCTGGCACTTTGACTCTCTTAGGATGTTGAACTGTCTGCTTACCTAAAACAAACAGACAGACAGACAGACAGACAAAACCATGATTTGTAGTCATACATATGTGACTCCAAAAACAAACAAACAAATAAATAAATAAAATCAATAAAAAACATATCCTTGGGCAAGGATAAAAAAATAAAAGAAATGACATCAGAGATTCTAAAAATATTATACCAAGTCCAGGTTCCAGACTTAATCCCCCGAAGGGGACATGCAGGAGGCAGGCGATTGATGTTTTTCTCTCACTTTTTTAAATAAATAAAAATCCATAAAAACATTTTTTAAAAGAATACCCACCACTATACTCGGGGTAGATATTCTGAGGAAAGTATACATACATGAAAATAACCACATATATCAAGAGGAGAGGGCATTATCGAATTTTCATTCACAAGTGATAAACAAAGTCTCTTATATGCATCATCTTCTTTTGTTGTCTGCACAACATCCCCAATAAGGAGGTACTTTTATGATCCCAGTTTTACAGTTGAGGAAATTGATGCTTAGAAAGATTGTGTTTTGTAGCCAGCATCACTGATCTGATATTTGAACTTGTCTGATTTCAAAGCCTGTGTTACCAGATTACTCTTCAGCACTGACTTCCACAAGGATGTTCATGGAAATCACTGCTTCCCATATTGCCTCTTTTTTCTGTCCTTTTGCAAATCTTTAGGCTCCTGGATGGCTTAACCATGGTACCAGGTTGGGAAGGCAAAAGCCAGTGTATAGAACAGTGCTTCTCAACCTTTGCTGCATATTAAAATGAAACGAGGTGCCTATAAGAGTCCCGAGGCCCAGACCTCTTATTTCAGAATTGGGGAGAGTCCAGGGGTCTTCAATGAGCTGGTAAAGCTTTAACAGCCAACTCCCAGGAGAAAATCAAAAGCCCTGACTTGTAACATTTGCCAATTTCGTGGTAATAACACTCCCACTGTGGCTGATTTCAAGCTACCAAGGTGATACTCACTGGCTCACACAATTCTGGAAATGTAACAGTCTATTCTTGCAAGTAGATAGGAGCTGGATCCAGCACAGCATTCAGAGGAATTTTTTTAAAAAACTATTTCAATGTGGGGCCACGACTGAGAACTACTGGGCTACCGAAATCAGAGTCGCCTGGGAGCCCTATGGATCCTGGTATAAGGCAAACAGCAAAGTCTGTGTAAAGCCTGGAGGAGGAAGGGAAGGAGTAGAGGGGACAGGAGAGGAGGGAAGGAAAAAAGTGATGAAAGAAACTATCTCCGGGAAGCAATGCAGAACAAGGTACCTAGCCAGCTGGGGTAGCAAAGGTGGGTTCTGGAGCAGCAGCTAATTCATTGGGGTGAGTCTATTCTTCGGGTTTTAAAATGTCAATGCCACAGATGCTTTCATGACTACTTTGCAAAGAAAAAAAAAGATGCATTTTGTTTAAAAAGAATTGCCTCCCATGTGTAATTATTAAACAACTAAACCTTTACCAATACTGAGAATTTCTGATTTTGTTCCCTCAAGCTCTTTATTGCTTCTGGAATAGAGCTTGTTCTGTAACAACTAATATAAAGTACAAGATTTCAATCAAATTTGAAATTGAGCAGACCCTCACCCTCCTCTCATGGCTTCAACACAGATCTGTACTGTGTAGGGGTACAAGGCATGACTAACATATAACAGAAGCAGTGAGAAGTGAAACATTTCCTCGTCTATAAAATTGAGAAAATCTGCTCTTTTAATATTTTTCTTTTTGTTCAGTTAAGATCTCCAGGGTCGTTCCATGTAAAGGACATCAGTCTGAACTGAGATAATGTTGTCCTGATTTCTATATAACTAATCACACTTGTGATCCTTTCTGTAGGAAGAATTCAGTTATGGGGACACCCCATTGCAGTAGACTGGGCAGAACCAGAAGTAGAAGTTGATGAAGACACAATGTCTTCAGTGAAAATCCTGTATGTAAGAAACCTAATGCTGTCTACCTCCGAAGAGATGATTGAAAAAGAATTCAATAATATTAAACCAGGTAAAACATACTGTAGAAGATTACTTGTTCAAAACATTTTAAAAACGCTTGTGCTTACAATGACTTCCATAATTTCAAATAAGAAAGCTTTTGTTTATCATTCTGAGAATTGCATACAGACTACTAAAACTACACTTATACCTTTAGATTAGAAAATAAGGATATACAGTCCTATAACATCTATCAATATTATAGTTTTACATTTATCTGTGTGGTTACTTAAAGGATAGATAGTTCTGTCACTAAGCTATTAATTCCATGAGTTCTTTTTGCTCTTATTGTCTCTTCAGCCTGTGTCTTTGTGTCTGGAACATGTTAGATGCTCAACAAATATTTACTATATTAATGAATGCATGGCCTAATCTAATGCATGGTTTCTCAATCTCAGTACCCTGGACATTTGGGGCCAGATCATTTTTGGTTGTGGAGGTCTGTCCTATGCACTATAGGAGATTTGGCAGCATCCCAGACTTTTAACCACTAGATGCCAGTAGCAACCCCCATTATGTAATAACCAAAACTATCTCCAGACATTGCCAAATGTATTGTAGAGGGCACTTTGGAATTACTGGTTTCATGGAATATGATTGTGAGTTTAGGTTCATAAGTAAGTAGATGACAATTAAATTCTAGGAAATCCATTTGGGCAAGAAGAACATAAAGAAATAGAGGGAAGGTGGAGGGCAATTATTAGCTGCTTCTCATCTTATCAATACTTTCCAGGATCAATCTGAAGTCATGAGATTGACTGCCCATCTCTTTTCTTTCTTTTTTTTTCTCATGTAAGAGCTACAACACTGAGGCAGGTAAAGCATTTCAAGAAACAAAATGCAAACAAGCATTTCCCAACGTCAGTTCTGTAGAACATTATTTTTCCAGACTGTTAGCAGATGTTCCTTTTGACTAAAAGAGGTTCATAGTCAAATAAGTTTATAAACACTAGTAACAACAAAAGTAAACAGATATTTATTTATTTATTTATTTATTTATTTATTTATTTTTTACTGTGGGACTTATCAGAGTCCTTAACATAAGTGTGGTGTGTGTGAAAGGAGTTTGAGATGCTCTAGAAGAGTAACAGGAATGGCAATCTGCTCTTGGGGTGCAGAGAAGACTCATGTCTAGCAGAAATGACGTGTGAGCTGAGATCTGAGAGTTGATCCAGTCATGGGCATAGGAACTGGCATTGTGTGCATAAATAATACTTCCTTACCACCACCCCACTTTGTGTTGATTTTCCAGAGCAAGTAATACCTCTTAGTTTTATCTACTGAGGACATTACCTTTCTTAGAAAAGGGCAGGAATGTGAAACTACTAAAAGGCTATTCCTTTGGGTTATTATCAGCTTTACAAGTCTACACATTGAAGAGTGTCCAGGCCCTATTAAATATAGGAAAACAACCAGTGAGTTGCAGAGGGTGGAGACTGGCAGACACCTGCTGTATTGGAAAGAAAACCTCAGAGCCAACTAGTTTCTTTTCCAGTGGAAAATACGAGATTAGATCCTCAGAGGAACCAGAGCATTCCCTGCAAATATTTGATCGTGTGTTATTTTAACCCTGATTAACCAGAAAACAGTACAATGCCACTCAGAAAAATAAATGGCAATCAGAACAGACACTGAGGGCTAAAAATGTGTGTTTTCCCCTAGTGTAGTCTAAGGGTATTTGCTGAAATTCTGGTTCTAGGCATTCTTCAGAATCTGATTTTTCAGACAGTTTAACGTCAGAATCACCGGGAGGGCGGGGCATGTTAAAACAGATTGCTAGCCCTGCCACCTGAGACTTTGATTCAGTAGGTCTGGGAGTCCAGGGGGTTGCATTTCTATTGAGTTCCAGGCTGAAGCTGATATTACTGGTCTGGGGGACCACACTTTGAGAATCATGGCCCTCTGATAATCTTCCCTTTGGATAACAATTGTGTTTCTCTTCTGATAATTTATGTCTTCTGACAAATTGATAATAAACAAAGTCATATTTTTCCAATTATGATTTCAGAGAATCTTCATTATTGCCGATGAGTTACCACTGATATTTTATTGCCTCGCCTTCTGCTCAATGATTATCAATCAGTAAATAAATTTCTATATGCCAGAGAAGGAACACAATAAAGTAGCCTTGTGGTGAATACTTATTATAGAGAAAAACAGCTTTTATTATAACAAACTCTCACTTTCTCATTTGTCTGTTTTATGAGACTAAATTCTCATATATCAACATTTGCAAAATCAGGTGTGGGTGGACATTATTGCTCAAAAATGCAAGCTGATTTCAACATCTATAAGATGAATTTTAGGACACCTTAATCATTATTATCTGAAATGCCACCCAGATAACGGGGATGATAGAAGTTGGAGAGTGAATTGACTGATAATATGGGCTCATTCCATGTCTATTTACTGAGCAGCACAAGGCACTGTGAGGAATTGTGTGATGACTACCCAAAGAGGCCCCTGAAGCATATACTGCCCTCAGAGTGATAACAGTCCAGGAAAATCTGGATGGAGGATGGGACTGATGAATAAATGAATCAAAGACGAGAAGGGTAAAGACCCTCATAGCCCACCTCTTATTTCTCAATGACTAAGACAAGCCATGGGGTAAAGTCACAAGAATTAGCCCATCTGACACTGAAGGAACAAAAAGACCATGTGGGAATTCAGTTAATTACACATCCCATGCTTCATGGTTTCAGCTACCTTTATTTATTTTTTCAGCTTGACAAGACAACCTTGCTCTGTACAACCATTGTCATAAGAAGTCAAGGGTTGAGTTCCAAGGGGAGAAGAGAGGACTGCAATGTTTTAAAAATATCCTTACATTATAGCACTATCTCAAAGGAAGACAGTTTATTACAATTAAGCCACATGGTAGAGCAGAAACTCTGATTGCTTTGTGACTTTGGATCTAAGAGGATAATTGAACTTTGATAGCAGAGGAAGAAAGGAGGACCTATGGCCTCTTCTGGTTCTCCCTGGCATAGGGACCCATCCTATATTGTCTTTAGAAACTAAGGATAGGAAAAGAAAACATGGTCTCTGAAGCTACACCCAAGTGAATATACTAGTAGCTAACAGGATAGCAGCAAGCTAAACTGCAAACAAGTTAATGTTAAACAAGCTTCCATCTTAGCATCACTCTAGGCAAAAGTTAATTTTTAAAACTGGGCAACCAACAATATTCTTGACCAACAGGTTAATGATGATACTTTCACTCTGTTTATAGGTGCTGTGGAGCGGGTGAAGAAAATCCGAGACTATGCTTTCGTGCACTTTAGTAACCGAGAAGATGCAATGGAGGCCATGAAAGCTTTAAATGGGAAGGTAATGTAGACAAAGAAAAAATGTGTACGGATTCCATCAAAGTTTGGTGCGGAAATTTTATTCCAAAGAACAATACTGCAAGTCTACCTCACTCAGGCTTTCTCCAACACCGACACGGCTGCCTCTGTTCATTTAAGATGGAAAAAGAAAAAAAGAAAGAAAGTGATGGGAAGTATGATAAACATGTCACTGGCATGTCCAACTCTATCTCTAATTTTGGCTGACTTGGACAAGTTGCTGGCACTCAATTTCCTTAGAAAGAGGATATTGGGGTAGATAATTTCAAGGTGTTTTTCACCCATTCCAATTTTCACTCATTACTTTAAAGAGATTATCACCTTTGTAGTGCAGTATTCTGGGGACTGGTGATCAGGGGAAAAATGCCAAGCTAGCTGTTATTCTGCCCTTAACATTTGATCTTCCAACTCTGGAAAGCTTGGAACTACTTCACCTTGCCAAGAATAAGATCTGGGGAAAAACTAACTTCTTTATCCTTATTTTTTTTTAAATATATTTTATTGATTTTCTTACAGAGAGGAAGGGAGAGAGATAGAGAGCTAGAAACATCGATGAGAGAGAAACATCGACCAGCTGCCTCTTGCACACCCCCTACCGGGGCTGTGCCCGCAACCAATGTACATGCCCTTGACCGGAATCGAACCTGGGACCCTTCAGTCTGCAGACGGACGCTCTACAGCTGAGCCAAACCGGTCTCGGCTTTATCCTTATTTTTGATTTACATGTAGAAACCAATATATTTACTTCAATCCAATACACATTCAAAAGCTTCCATAGGCCAATTATCATGCTAAATAAAGTCTGGGATACAAAAAATGTCAAACCAAAGATGTTTATCAAAGAGCTAACAGTCTGCCAGAAGAATAAAACAAGTCACAAACACTTTTACAAAGGCATTCACAAAAAGGATGAGTGGTTCATAAAGAACCAGAAAATCTTCATGGATATGAGAAGAGACAAAGAGGAGCCATGAAAATTGATCAGAATTTTAAAAGAGAAAACAAAAACAAAAACATGGAAAAGGAGAGGCGGTTTTAGACAGAGACACAGAATTTAAAAAGAGCTAGCTAAGATTTGAGAACAGTAAAAGCAGAGCAATTTGGTGAGAACATAATACATCAGGCTATTTTACCTGTTGGGCTTCGCATCAGTCAATCCTAAAAGGACACAGATGGCAAAGGGACTTATTACAAAGGTGCGAGTGCAGAGTCAGAGAATCAAGAGATAGTGCAAAAACCTAGAGCTCCTGGCATTCCTTAAGTCAAAGGCACAAGGGCTGGAGAAGTAACAGGAAACTAAAGCAGAGAGGATTATGTAGAGCAGGTCTCTGAGAGAAGTAGTGATGGTTGGTCAAGAAACACATCCAGGCTTAGCTAATCTCTCAGAGAGGGAGCAAAGGGAGAAATAGCCAGAACTCACTGCCAGGACTCCCTATGGGCCAAACCCAATCATAATCCTGAAGGCCCAGGAGCCCTGAAGAGGACCCCAAGTAGATCACCCCCACCCCAGGGCAAAGAGGCTGGAGACCACTGGGGAGTAGGCCCTTCAGATACAGTGGGGCCCGGGCATAGGAGCTTCTGCAGGACCTACAAAAATGTTTGAGTACTGCGAGGAAAAGTACTGACTTTAAAATACAAAAAGAAAACTGGAAAGCAAAAATTAATGCATATTTAATACATGTCTATGTAGCAAAACATTATTTTATCATCATTGGTTATTACATTTAATATCATAAAATGATTATTTAAAACAATTTGCAGGTTAGTTTTTTTCCATTTGAAAACATTCCTAAGTATACAAATGATTGCTGAAAAGGGATATTCTGAATTAAGTGCTAATTTATTATTATTTATTATATGATCATTAAACTAACTGCTAAGTTGTAATTAATTGATAAATAATTAAAAGCATTGGAATAATTGCAATGAAAATATATTCAAACTTTTCCCAGTTTTTTAAAGCTATATATATTTATAGGTAGATATTTTCATAGAAGTGGATACATATATTATATAGTTAAATAGATATTCAATATTATTATTAAATATACACTAAATATTATAATTATATTTCACTATAATGTGGTATGAGAATATCAAAAATAAGTTTTTCTAAGAACTATGAAAGCTTTTGAGTATGCATATGAATATTTATATTTAATTCGTTCAGCAAGGTGAGGCTTTGAATATTTTGTGCAGTGGAGTAATTGTCATATTTACAATTTAGGGAAATGAACCTACTAATAATTGAAATTTCATAGAATAGTAAGAGAGATATAATTGCAAGTAGTTAAAAAGTTATTAGTCATCCAAATGTAAAGAAACAGGACTTGAACTAGGGTGGGAATGAGGTGTAGAAGAGAGCTCTATATAGGACTAAGGGGGATGAATTTCAAGGACTCAGGGACTGATTGGATATAGCAGTAAGAAAGAAGTATGAGGCAATACAGGTTTTCATTATGGAAAACCAGAATAATACTGTTAGGGAAGCCAGACAGGAGAGCCTATTTAAAGAGAAACATGATGAATTGAGCTTTGGATGTGATCATTCATTTATTCTATAAATATTTATGGATGTTTATAATATACAAAAAATTTTGCTGAGCTTGGGATATAAAGATTAATGAGATATTGTCTTAGCTCTTCAAATGTCTAAACCAAATAACTAAAATACAATGTTGAGTTTAAAACACTGTTGGGTGGTAGAGGAATGCAAAACAAAATCTATCACAATAAGAAATCTGACTTTGCAGTGTGTAAGCATTCTATTACAAAGGTCTCTTGATATGAAAGTGCCTATAAGCAGAGACCTATTGGGGTCTCTCATCTTTAAGAAAAGACTGATGATATAATCCAAGTTTACCTCATTCCTTCATTATTCCATTTCTTCTATTCACATGAATGACAATGTAACAATTGAATATCAGCTGGATTCTCTCTGTGTGTGTTTCATTTGACACCGGCTCCTGCTACTAGGAAGTAAGGTAGATCCATAGAAACAGGGATAAGTTGCCCCAGAGACTGAACAAAATAGTCAGGATGAATCACGAACTCTATCTAGCAGACTTCAATGACCCAGGAACCACTGAATTCTCACGACATCAGATAATAAGGGTGGATGATTGCTACTGTGGAAGGGAATTTCTGCAGGAACATTTCATGTCATTTCTTTTCATTTATATAAAATAGGAGCCCATCATATTATGAGAATGAAACCACAAAAGCTTTCTCATAACTCCTTGTTGCTTTGATAAGGAATACATTACTCTATCAAGTATTTGTTGAGAGCCATCCTGGTCTCTGTCTATGACTGTGCTACACAGAAGTGAGTCACTCATCTAGATCTAAACACTTCTATTATGTTCAGCCATTATCTTCAGCTATTATCTTCAGCTATTTTCAATGCAAAAAAAATTGTGTCAGCCCTAACCGGTTTGGCTCAGTGAATAGAGTATCAGCCTGCAGACTGAAGGGTCCCAGGTTCGATTCTGGTCAAGGGCATGTGCCTTGGTTGCGGGCACATTCCCAATGGGGGTGTGCAGGAGGCAGCTGATTGATGTTTCTCTCTCATTGATGTTTCTATCTATCCCTCTTCCTCCCTCCCTGTAAAAAAATCAATAATAAATATTTTTTTAAAAATTTGTGTCAGACTAGAACCAATTCAATTAATTCTTGACAAATTTTTAAGAGTGCTGGACTTGAGAAACCTCAGCACTATCCACCAACTCCATTCATTAGTTACCAACTGTTCAGCAGGCCAAAGGGTTGCTTCCCGACGAAGTACATGTGGGCAACAAGGTAATGGCCTCAGATGCCTCTTCCTTGGGTAGTGCCTCACCTTTTAGGTCTCTCCTTCTTCCCAATGAAAATGCCCTTATTGTGTAGCAACTCTAAGGAGCAAGACCTTTAGTTGGCTAGCAGCCAGAAAGGCCCAACTGGGCTACCCATAACCAAAAAGTTAATAATTTATAAGAACTCTTTCTTGGTTTTCTTTCATCTTCATTGTACTCAGCTAGGTATTAGAGATTTTAATCTCCATAACTAACCTAAACTGTCTTAGAATTACATAATTACATAAACATGTAATTTAAAACATATACATCACATTAAAAATATTACGTAATTCTGTCTCAGTGACTGTATTCAGACAATAAATTTATTACCAATATGTACATGGATGGTGGCCAATTTGTCACTGTAAAAACCGGTTGACAGCTTATGGGAAACTTACAACAAACTATTCAGGGAACAATTTAAATGACACATGCCATCAACCTATAGAGACAAGTACATATAATTAAAACAGCCAGTACGCATAGCAGCAAATAGGCTAATACAGAAAGAGAGCCATTACGAGGGCTCAGCCTCCCGTGGTTGTATTCATATGTTACTTGTTGCTTTTTCCTTGCTCTCTATACCAGGTGCTGGATGGCTCCCCCATTGAAGTGACCCTAGCCAAACCAGTGGACAAGGACAGCTATGTCAGGTATACCCGAGGCACAGGTGGAAGGGGCACCATGCTGCAAGGAGAGTATACCTATTCTTTGGGCCATGTTTATGATCCTACCACAGCCTACCTCGGAGCTCCTGTCTTCTACGCCCCGCAGGCCTATACGATTCCTAGCCTTCATTTCCCAGCCACCAAAGGACATTTTGGCAACAGGGCCATTATCCGAGCCCCCTCTGTTAGAGGTAATACTAATCAGCTCTTGCCTTAGAATAACTCCATGATTTCAAACGATTTGTATTGCAATAGCCTTAGACAAACTGGATGAGTCCACTGAGAGAAAAGAACTCAAAAAAAAAAATTTAAATCAAATATTTTATCAATAGTTATCCTTCCATAGGAATCTTATTTCACATTACAACTGGTTGAGAAAACTTGGTCATAGCATAGTACAAATGAGTCTTTCCATGGGACCCATAACATTTGCACAAACTAAATCCCAGGTCCACAGTTGTTCATGTCTCTCTTATCATTGAATCACCATATTGCAGTCATATGTAACTTGTCACATAATTAAAACACTATGCATTTATAATCTAAAATCACATCATAAAACAAGCCATACATTAAACATAAGTTGTCAACCAGTTGTAATGTAAGTGAAAACATTGTTGGCAGTTTATGGGCACACTCCAAGGGGGAAAAAACACATTTATAACAAAACAAAAAAATCAATGAATGATATTTCATGGATGAAGGGTAATCAATTTAACATTTGTATCTTTATGCCACCAATAGGAAATCAAAGTAGCAATGTGGAAAACAAAAAAATCAAAAGGAATCTATTAATGAAACTCAATAGAAATTTCAGCCTCACATGGACAGAACTTAAAATTGAAAATGGTTAATTTAAACATGCTTTCAATGTGGTTTTCCAACAGGTCTTTAGGATGGCCTTCTTGGGAAAACTAGAATTCATTTCTGACTTATTGCTCAATGATAAAATGAAAGACTGATATGACTACTGTATGTGGTTATATTATGCTGGGATGTTTAAAAAAATACCTTCCCAATATTAATTATTCTACAGGGGGGGGAAAAGTCAATAAAAGGTTAACTGAAGACAGAAATGGAAAATTTTTTCTCTGTACCAAATTTTAAAGTTGCTTATGTAATTATCAATAGCTTTGATAGTATTGCTTTCTTCCACAAATCATTTTTTTTTTAAAAAGAGGACACCTCTGGTGAACTCTACCTTATGTTGAGTTTCATTACATTAGAATCCTAGGGTTTTCTACCCATCTTCAGGGCAATAATCAATGTGACTTGGGCTAACTTTTCCATTACAGTAAGATTCAGGGTGATTTTCTGGTGGTTTGATTCAGTTTAATGCCTTCTTACATTCCTAGAAATTTACATGAATGTACCTGTAGGGGCTGCGGGAGTGAGAGGCCTGGGCGGCCGTGGCTATTTGGCATACACAGGCCTGGGTCGTGGATATCAGGTCAAAGGAGACAAGAAAGAAGAGAAACTCTATGATCTTTTGCCTGGGATGGAACTCACCCCGATGAACCCTGTTACCTTAAAACCCCATGGAATTAAAATTGCTCCCCAGGTATGTGATGTTATTCCAGAGACAGTCTCTTTAAGTTGAGCTAACATCCATTGTTCTCCTTTCATCAGATGACTTGACTGGATCCCTACTTAGGTTACTATTTTGTTTTGTCTTGTGTGTTTTTGAGTTTATTTGTTTGTCTTTACATAGAGTAACCAGTCAACATAATGTCTTGTCAGAGTACTGAGTGTTCTTCCATTATAGATTTTCTTTTTTTATTATTATTATTATAAAATTTGGTACCTTAAATAATCTTCCACTGAAATGCAAAGATCCTGAGAGCTACTGAGAATATCAACCAATACTTTAAATAAGATAATATAAAGCTAAGACCTTAGTTCAAAACAAATGGCAATTATATGTAAGCCAGGTTGGTTAGCAAATGAAGAATATTCATGACAGTCAATGAATAGGCCATTTAGGACATATTTTCTTAGAAACACTGTGTTTAAGAGAAAAAACCATGTCATCTAAGTTGACATTACTCATATCAACTATAAGGCACCATCAGTCATACCAAATTAGGTTTTCTACTGTGATTATATTTGCACAGTAGCACTATAGTGAGTTTTTATTGCTTTCATTTCACAGTTCTAATTTTCCAGGCTTCTTCATGAGATTGTATTTTTTTATTATTGGAAAATTAAAAGTGATAAAAGTTGTTTTAAAATGGAAACTGAATAATAAACACAGTTAAAATAACACAAAACTGGTTCTAAGTTAACCAGTAGACTGTTCCTTGTGTAGTACATGTTGATCTCTCTATAATTCTGCACAGACACTTGGGCTGAATAACCAATATCTACCTGGTAGTTGCTCAGAGTTATAGTTTGTATATTCAAAAGGAAAATTTTCTACTCTCACCCCAAAGGCATAGGCTCCAAATTTATGGAAGTAGCTTTTTGATTGCAATCAAGTAGAAAAGTTGGTTTTCTAAAAGTTAAGCTTGAGTATTTTTTTGTAGAATTGCTGGCTTTCTTAGACACACAAAATTTTACATCTAAGGTTTCTGTGAACCTTACCCAGACAATTAAAAACTAACAAAAACTCCTATCAGAGTGGCAAACAGCAATCATTTGTGCAAAACTATTTATTGGGCATTTTTAACACGTATTTTGTTAGTTCTGGTGATAGAAAATGGAATATAACACAATCCCTTACCATCAAAAATTATGTAGCACAGAAAAAGTAATCTAATTTAGAAATGGGCAAAAACATGAACATTTTTCCAAAGAAACTATACAAATGGTCAACATATTTTTTAAAATGAGGAAATCCTGCCATTTGTGTCAACATGGATAGTCCATGAGTATGCTAAGTGAAATAAATCAGACAGAGAAAGACAAATACTGTATGACCTCACTTATATGTCCATTTAAAAAAAAAAATCGAAACTCCAAAAAAAAAGGGATCAGGTTTATGATTAACAGTGGTGGGTGGGATGGTAGAGGTTGGAAAATTGGAGAATGTGGTCAAAAGGTACAAACTCTTAATTATAAAATAACTAAGTACTAGGGATATGATGTACAATATAATGATTATAATTAATACCATTGTATAATATATATGCAGATTGTTAAGAGAATAAATCCTAAGAATTCTCATCACAAGGAAAATAACTTTTTTCTTTTTCCTACTTTTTCTTTTTATTGCATTTGTATTAGATAATTGATGCTAACTAAACTTATTGTGGTAATCATTTTTATAATATATGTAAGTCAAAGTAATATGTGTACACCTGAAACTCACACTATGATGTATGTTAATTATATATCAATAAAACGGGGAAAATATATGGCAATTCAGTGAGAGGATACTCACACGTGCACAGATCATTATTTAAAAAAAAAAATCCAGTAAGTGCCATGAGTTTGGCACTCAGAGCTTTCCTCAGAAAACACAAACCCAATCTTCCTTGGGTTAAAACTCAAAATAAGAAACCTAATTAAACTACTGGGAAAACTAGAAATATTCTAAGAAAATAGAAAGTAATGATCATCAGAAATTCTGTAGAACAGTTCTGAGAGCTGCGATAGCATGAGCTATGATCTCTGCTTTTAATATCAAACCCAGGCTAGAAACAGGCCATGCTTTTTATTATGATGTGAGTAACCATCTCTATCAGCTAATGAAAATTCTTTCATTAATTTCCCCCCGAATTTCTACTACTATGGCTTAGAAACTGAAGACCATGTCACCCCAACCTTCACGATGGAGCTTAAGAACTCCATAGTGGAGCTGTGAACTTCTAAGAAAAGCTGAGGGACACGTGCTGACCTGCAGTCAGCAGTTAGAGCTGCTCCTCCAATAGCACTGTTACAGAATATCTGCCAGTTAAAGCAATTCACTATTGTGCAGGAATTGCAGAGAATGCTTTGGAGATGACAAGAGATGCTACAAAACTGAGGATATTATAAGAAAAGTTAATAAAAAAAGCTAGGAGCAATGAATAAACTGGAAAAGGTCATGCTATTGCAGCTGGACTTGAATTAGAACAAATGAGATAAGCTCCATAGGGGCTTCCTGGGACATTGTTCTGTCCCAAAGACTTATTGTTTTTGTGTTATTGTTTTTCAGATCTATGCCCTATTTTGCATAGTTTATTGAATCTACCAACTATTGGGAGTATCAGGGCTTGTGGACCACCAAAAAATGGCTTCAAGATGAAGAAAATATATGTCTTTAGACATGATTCAGTTTGCAGTAATGATAGAAAGGAAAAAAAAAAAAAACATGCAGGAAGCTGCTATAAACCAGACTATTGTAAAAATAAGCAGAAGTGGTCTTTTGCCAAAAACATTGCAACTGTCAACACCCAACTATCAATCCTCATCAATAAGTACTAACCAATTAAACTTAAAAATTATATTTTTATGAAAATGTGAAGTTAAACTTTAAGATAAATAACATCAAATAAGAATATACTATATCCTTACGTTATTTTCTCTAAAGAAACAGAAGGATTGAAGATAAAAATGAGTAAATCCAGCCACAGTGTTAGAATATCAAATTTTTTAATAGGGATAAATATATCAAACAAATCATAAAATTAAACTATTGGTAAAAAGTTACAGCTAATGGACTAAACTAAAAACATGTTAGACTAAGTAGTGTGAAGATAGTTTTTATGAATTAATAGACCTAACATTTTAAATAGAGTTCAAATTGAGTTCATGTTAAATTTTGTGAGTCATTAAGCCATGTGGCATTTTATATCTTTTTATATTAGCTTAAACTCTGAAGGACAGAATTAAAAACCTGAAAACTGGAGAAATAATGCAAATGTGACATTTGAAAGAAAAGTCCTTTTTTCTTTTTACTCTTGTAGATATTAGAAGAAATTTGTCAGAAAAATAACTGGGGACAGCCAGTATATCAGCTGCACTCTACCATTGGACAAGATCAAAGACAACTATTCTTGTACAAAATAACCATTCCTGCTCTGGCCAGCCAAAATCCTGCCATGTGGGTAACTTCTCCAAATTCCTAATAATACCAATTTTAGAATAAGAGACTCTTACAAATTAAGTGCATTTTATCACTATTTCAATAAGATAAATATTCAAGTCTTCTACCTACTCATTTTTCATTAAATGAAACATTGAGATGTAGAGTTAGGATGTATGTGCCAACCATAAGACTGACATCTCAAAACCACTGAATTTTGTGAAGACAATGAAGACCTGGTAGTGAAATCAATCAATGGAAAATTGCAGCTGTAAAATTTAACAGAAATGAAAAGTATAATCCATTCTTTGATCTGTGTAGTATTTAGGTTGAATCGTATAAAATAGCCATTTTAAACAAAATAACATTGTGCTCTGAGGTTTAAATTTTGGACCAATGATGCAACCTCTCAGCTAGTGGATATCACCTTCTGAATTTTACCTGGAGCCTGCATTTCTGCATTATTTTAGGAACCATCATGTTTCACATGCACCTTAGAAAAGCCATTTAATGAGTTACAAGTATGCTCCAGGAATGACATCAACCACCAATGTTCTAGGTCAATTCATAGATATGTCTACATGTATATACTATCTATTTAGAAGCTTTAATGGCAAAGAGAATGAAAAATACCCTCACAAAATTCTATCATTCTATCATCCTCAAAAGCTAACAGTGCTTTAGATGTTTACCTGTCTCAGTAGCATGAGTTTAAAATGCTCACCCTGCCTGTGCTTTCCAGCCACGCTTTCACACCTCCGAAGCTAAGTGCCTACGTGGATGAAGCAAAGACATACGCAGCGGAGTACACCCTGCAGACCCTGGGCATTCCCATCGAAGGGGCCAGCGCTCCCACTGCGGCAGCTGCTGCCGCTTCTGCTGCTGCTTTTCCAGGTATGAACATATTGGGCCAGAAAGGGCATCCTGCAGAGAGTGTCTTGCAAAGCCTTCTTGGTACCATGGATGCATAGAGTTGTTTGTAAACACCACCTACAATAAATGTGATTTACACCATCAGTGACAAAAAAGAATTTGCCAGATAAGTGAACCATTAAAGTCCGAGGCAAGGGAATTGAGTTGGGCAGCAGAAGTGGGTTGTGTCTAGGCCAAGTGATCTTGAATGATCTAGTCTCTCTGCATCTGATTTGCTTTGGTTTGGTTTTTACTTTCAATAAGAACTACCTCTTAACAGCTGATGTATATCTGAGCTCTTACCATGTGCCAGGCACTCACCTAAATCCCCGGCGTACTTTAGGTTCTCTCAGTAATGCTCACAGCGCCATGGAACTAGGTTCTAGCATAATGCCTGTTGTATAGATGAAGAACCTGAGTCCTGGAAAGATTAAGTCAGTGGGCCAAGGTCAATCAGCTTTTAAGCAATCCTTGCACTCTCTCCCCAAATCCAATCTTTGATTTTACTTTTATTACTTTGATTTATAAAAGAGCTGTGTAGATTACATTTTTCTTAAATTATTTTAAGTAAAAAAACTGTGGGGGGTGAGAGAGAGTCTTTCAATATGTACATAATCAGGCCTCATTTTGTCTGTTCTTTTGTCCGGGGCAGATGCTGATTGCTTAAAGTCTATCTGTAGATCAACAGGCCTTCAGGGTCACATTTAAAGACTTTTCTGAATTTATTATATACAATAAATGCTGAAAATTTTAAAAATGAATCTTCTAGAGAGGGGACCAAATTTCTTTTGGAAATATTTTCTCAGCATTCAGTTTAAGTAACTCTATTCTTTCTTTTTTTTTTTTTTAAGTAATAAAAGTTTATTTTCTTTTAAAATTTTTCATTCTGACTTGTCATTGTATCCAGATACCCCCATAAACCCAAATCAGATAGTTCTGACTAGACCTGGAAATATGGATTCCTATTGATTGATGAATCCATATATTGCTTATATGAAGGTATAAAAACTCTATACCCCTCAAATCCATATCCTTGGGCCAAATCTCATTTATTTTTATTTCCAAAAAATTCTGAATAGATACTCCACTCTGGCAGGTGAGGCTGAAACTGATGCTTCACACATGAATGTGACCCCAGCCCAGCTTCAACCGCACAGAGCATGGTCTCCCCTGGGCTGTACTAGGGCCACTAACCCCGAAATTGCATTCCACAAACAAGTGCACTGGGGACATGGCCAGGACTTCTCAGTTCTTAAAGGAAGTTGAACCCCTTTCTGTCTTGCAGAAAACTGTATCCCAACAACCCCTAACAAACATGCTATAAAAATAAATGAGCCAATGTCAGGAGAACTTTAAAGTTTGCTTTCACATTGGACAGGATTTTCTTTTTCCCAAGAAAACTGTATCTTACCCATACTTATTTGCCCCTACAAGAAGCAAAAAATGTAGGGCATGACTGTGTCTTGGGAATACTTGAGAATTTAAGAATCTCTCACAACTTTATAGCGGGATCAAGCAGAGAATAATAGCCTTCGAGGGAAGAATCTGTTTAAAACACAAATACTGTTGCACCTAAGAAATTAGCCAAATTGCAAAAGAAAATTCAAAATCCCTAAAGATAAAAATCTAGGCTACACACACATATGCATACATTACTTACTTACTTACTTTAGGTATTCTGTTTCCAAAATCATGAAAGTAATTGTTAACACATTTCTCATATCCTTGGGAAATGTACCAAACTTCGCTCGTGCATTAGTCAGCATTACTGCTCAAAGTGCAGGAGCCAAGGAGTGGATTCAACTTTTTAAAAAAATAGTCCAGCCAGCTTCCAGCCACCACCTCCTGAGAAGCCACTGAAAGAAATCAATGTCTTTGGGGTTGAGCAGACTTCCACAGCACATAAAACAAATGGGCTTTTGTGGATGGTTTTTGTTTTGTTTTGTTTTGTTCTCAGATCACTGTTTATTGCTTAATTACTTTTTCCTTTTTCTCATCATCTTTTACAATTTTGGGATCATCTCAAATACCCAGTTTTGGTCTAACACACTAACGGGTTAATATTGCTTTAAGATAAGAGCTGCTATGCTCTCTTCTTCAAAAGTGATTACTAAGCAACTAAACATAATTCTAAGCCCTAGTTGGTTTGGCTAAGTGGATAGAGCATTGGCCGATGGACTGAAAGGTCCCAGGTTCGATTCCAGTCAAGGGCACATGCCTGGGGTGTGGGCTCAATCTCCAAGAGGGGATGCACAGGAGGCAACCAATAAATTATTCTCTCTCATTATTGATCTTTCTATCTCTCTTTCTGTCTCTCTTCCTCTTTGAAATCAATAATATGTAAAACCATAATACTAAGATGACAGCACATAATGATTTCCTTATCATTCAAAACTTGGTTGGGGGTGGGAGTGAGGCATCCAAATATACCCAAAGTATCTTGGTGGTAGTGGGAGAAGATGCTATTTGCCCTTCAAGGTAAGGTCTAATTGTGGGAAGGCTACTTAGTATTTGCTTTCATGGTGCCATATATAAAAACATGCTAAAACTGTAAATATGTATCCTAGTAGTCTACCCACTCCCTACATGTACTTCTCAGGTGAAAGCAATGCCTATCGTTTCATTAAGGTGGGAAGGTGGGGAGAGGCAGCAAGAAGCAGACCTACAGAGCCCCATTCCCCCATCCCTGCCTCCTTCACTAATTCTGAGACCCTCGGAGAAAGCTCTGAATCCCACACTCTCATCCCCTCAGCATCATCCTATTAAGTTTGTTTTATGGACTCTATCCCCAGGGTTTCTAATTCCCTCAGTGGAGTGATTCTGCCACAGGTGCTCCACCTCACTTGGAGGAATGCTGCCCCCTAAAGGATGAGGCCCCTGAGAGCGCCTTTTATTGTAGAATGCACAGCTGAGAATATGCACATATTCCCAAAGGAAGACCATAAGCCAAAGGGAAGCCAACAGGAACCTCTTTCACGCCCGTTTTCTCTGCCTCCTCCTCCAGGATATGCTGTCCCCAGTGCCACTGCACCCGTGTCCGCAGCCCAGCTCAAGCAAGCAGTGACCCTCGGACAAGACTTGGCCGCATATACAACGTATGAGGTCTACCCCACTTTCGCAGTGACCGCCCGGGGGGATGCATACGGAGCCTTCTGAAGATATCTTTTTTATTTTATTTTAATAATAAGACACAAAACTCTATAGAGAAGAAATAAACCTCTCAGTCCCCTAATGATCACATGTAATGCTTTTCCTCACGTGAGGCCGTTCCTGAGATGATGGTTGCTACTAGCTGTAGAATCGCCATAGGAGAACATTATTCCCAATTCAACCAAATGTTAAGGAGCCACTGCGCCCAGGTGGCTCTTGCAAGGTTGCGGATTGTCTTGGGGGTTCATTTACAAACGCTGATGGAGTGGAGAGAGAGCTTTTAACTGACCTTCAGTCAGTAATCACAGAGAGACAAGCCAACTTCCAGAATATTAACCCTGGCTGGCAGCTGCTTTTGTGATCCTTCAAGTCACAAGAGGCAGAGGGAAGGTGGGAGGAAGCTTTTCAAAACATGCTCGCCACTGCCCGCTAAGTGGAGCGTGTTCACAGGCTGGGGCTTGTGAAAGAAAATGTCCACGGTTTGATGAGTCAGCATTTGCAGTCTGAAAATTCCGCCCAGTCACTCTGTCGTAGGTCAGCATCTCCCTGTCCCCTGCCATCCCCAGGACTTCCTGGAAATCGAAGTGATATATTGCAGACCTGGTTAAAGCAATCCAGGCCTATTGAGTATTAAACTCATTAGCCCCTAGAACTCCTGCTTTTCCCAAGCATCCTCACAAGACAATAATCCTTCCAACCTGAAATGACTTTTTCTCATTTTAAACATTTGATGTGCCCGTATTGATTTATTTTCATTTCCGTCTTATTTTGCTCTTCTCCAATAGCTTAAAAAAAGGAAATCCCATTGATAGTCAGTCACCTATGATACTTTTAGCTATTTGGCAAATTGGCTGAAAAGTCATTTAAACAAAATGAGGAATAAAGATTTACTTTTTCTTATTTCTTTGACCTTTTTGCAATACACAGGCCACCAACCAGCCTTCAGAGACAGTTAAAGTAGCTTGGTTCAGCCTTGGACCATCTCACCGGCACTTATATTAAATATGCCAGGAAATCCTCTACCTTCTCTTCCTTTTGCTTCCAATAAGCACCGACAGCTTCGGCAGAGTTGAGTGCTGTGGGCTTGGAGCCGTCACAGGAAACCTTACATGGTCACTGCTGATCAGAGGCTGGTTCTCCAGACACTCAGCCAGGGTGTGATTTACCAAAAGCCCCTGGAGTCCAGGGCCTCTTCTCCAGGAACATCTGATGGGGGAGGAGGAAGCTACAAAAGTCAGAATGGAGGGGAGTAGAAGGCACTACTTGTTTGCCATCCTTATACAATATTGCTTTTTGTTCCGATTAGAAATAATCTATTTCCAGCCACCCAATACCCATGACTACTTCTCAGGTCTCATCAGTGGTTTAAGACATAACAGTACTACAATTTCCATCTTTAAAAATCTCTTGGCCCTTGTAAAATTCTACAGGACTCAAGAGAAAACATAGGTACAAAGGAATAAAAAAAATAAAAGCCAACTATTGACTGGAATTCTGATTCAAAATCAGGCCAGGTTCCAATCAAAATCAGATAAATTCCAAAAACAAAAGTCCTTGTCACCTTTCAGTTCTATGAACTCCAACCTGATGTCAAAAGCATCGATGTTACAGATGGAATGTTGAAAGGGCTTTGTTTTTAGCTTTGAATTTTGCTTCTCAGACCCCCTACAAAGTGGTTCCTAAACTTGCTTACACATTGAGAACACCTGGAGGAACTTTCAAAGCCAAGATCACACCTCATACCAATTACATCGGAATGTCATGGGGTCGGTAATTTTGACATCAGTATTTTTTTAAAGATAAGGTGATTCCAATTATGCAACTAAGTTTGGGAACTGCTTATTTTTCCCCCTATTTCACTTTTGTTAAATAGAAAAATATAAGAAAAATTTGTCTAAATTAAAACCAAATAGCCACATCATATTTTTACATATATTCATCTTATGAAAATATGAATTTGAATATAATGCATGAATTTGAATATGATGCATATTTGCTACAAACTAATTCTTGGGTCAAACTAATTCTAAAAAGGAGAAAGTGAAAAAGTTTTCCTTAAGCAATGTGTAGGTCCAAATTACACTCCCCCACAGATCAGCTGTTATACTCAATGACAGTAATTACATAGGGGGGTCAGGCAAATTCCTACTCAATTCAAAAAAAACATTCCAAATTCCAAGAGCAAGAGTTGTAATTCTCTTTAAAATCTTAAAAAATGAATGGAAAGGGCACTCTGTATGTCTAACCCATGCAAATTGGAAGGTTTCATCCAGAGGAATTTTAATTTAATCAAAATGAACAATTTGTAAATATAGGAATCTCTTTATGAGAAAAATCATTATTCCAGATTAAATTATGTTAAGAGTAAAGACTTAAACATACAATAATAGAAAAATATCATGAAGGTTACTATTTGAAGCCCATCTCATTACTTTCTTGAGGAAAAGCATATGTATTCATGATGTTTACATCCTGAGGACTGATTTTATTCAAGTAAGTAGATGTGGTTTTATTTTTTGCTGAAATGTTACTTCATTCTAGCAAAATCTAGAGGATGCTTCAAATTCTATTAGAACATATTCATAGAAAGTGTCAATGTGTCTATCATATCAAATGTTTGCATTTACTTTGCCCACATTAATTTATGTAGACCAAGTCTTGCTACAGTTTCTGAATATTTAAAAATGGGATTTTGAAAACCAGGTGTAGAACCAAAGGTTTCCTTTGCATGATGTTTACATTTTTGGCCTTTAGATATTCCTTAATACCTATTATACCTTCTGTATCAATATTCATTTTTCGGTTTTATTACTTCTTAGGAATAAATTTTCAAAGAAAAATTTTTAAATGAATCAACCAACCAAGCAATAATAACAAAATACCCAAGAATATAATTAAGAAACATCCAGTACTTTAGAATTGGCTTTCTAAATATTGGTAATCAATAACTTACTGAGAATTAAAATCAGGCAGTGTTACTTAGGAGGAAATGGAACAGCAGTGAGAGTAGATGTCTGTTTTCTTACCTGTAAAAATGCCTCTTCTCAAATTGCTGTACTTCTCCACCAATCCATTAGTATAACCATTAGACCACCTTTAACTGCAACAAAATGTAATTCTCTAGGTGACTAGTTTTCCCCCTCCCAACCCTGCCCAAACCTGGTGCCATGCCAAACCACTCTATATTTGGGTAACAGCACCCAAAATTGCTGCTAGAAAGCTACCTCATTTAAAGAAAGAAAACTGCTAACAGGAGCTAAGAGGCCTAAGAATGTCATTCCCACTCAGGGTTGAGCAACGTCTGTCTTTCTGGTGTGACAATATGTGTGGGTGTGCCAGGACAGTGCTGGCTTACACCTGTTGCCTCATGTTCTAAATACTTACAATATCTCCTCTCACCCTCAAATGTATCCAGTTTAGATGAGAAATTATACAAGGACCCCTTCATTATGACCTTTTTAAAAAAATGTTGTAGAATTGGTTTTATTCTCCCCAAAGCAGATACAGTTTCAACTAAAGATCTCAGCTACTTTCTGCCCAGGGTAGGAGCACAGTGAACAGAGAGAGATGTGTCATCTTCTCCCCAGCATGGTTCCCCTCAATCCACTCCCCATCTTGCTTCCCTTTGCTGGTCCATCTTTTCCTCCCAATGCCCCTGGGCTACGAGCCCTGAGTTCTGCCATCAGTGACAGAAGTAGCAGCCACAAGGCTAGATTAGGCAGGGAACAGGATGTGAAACAGCTCTTAGGGACATGTGCTTGGCCTGTCACAACCATAGGGCATTAGGAGGTTCAGAAACCATTTGCTGGTTCCTTTCTTCCTTGAACCAAACTATTTATACCCCAAGCCAGAAAGGACTTTCTTCACCTTAAAAAGAAATTTAAAAGACTGTGCAAAAATTTTAAACAGGAAATAAATTTAAAGATCCAGAGGAGCTTTAAAACATGGGGTTGTCTTAGTCACATACTTATTTATGATGTTAATGAGCAGATCCCTATACTTTTTATCTACTTGAAAGCATTTTCGTCATTAACTATCTCTGTTTCCTAAATATACTTGTATTTACAAAATTCAAAATCTATTTCACAAGCCTTACCTATACCTATATTTTTGGCAATAAGTAATTTGCAACAAAACATACATATTTTTTCAAATGTAAATTTCATTTAGATTGTTAACATTTACTATTATAATTCCTAAGAGATCTTTGGGTTCACAGGCTACCAATAAGTCTATTTAAATCAGCCCATCATGATCACTGACTTAAATATTTATTATAATTATTGGTATTTTTATTCCTATTCCTTTATGAGTTTTTTTCTGACTTTTCTGGCTGCAATATAACCAAATAGGTTATCTTCTATATTTTAATGAAAAGCAAACTGTCAGCAAAATGTATTTCTAATTTCTAGACGTTAATTTCTTGCTTGTTTTCCTTTTTGTTGTTATAGAGTTTATTTATGTGAAGTTAGCTGAGGTACCAAAAAAAAGATACAAAAACAGTATTAAAGAGTGTGCCTAAAGCACCTATTTTTATACTTTGAGTACAATGTTTTATAGAACTCTGTGGTCTATCTAAATATACTAAGTAAAATTACAACATTCATTTATTGGGAAACTAATCATTAGCTTGGAAGCAATAAACATAATGGGAACCATGGAATCATAAATCACATTAAATGGGCAATAATGCAATATTGTAATGACTAGTGTAATTTAAGGATAGCAAAATGATTATAACTGAATTGTCAAGTACTATTATAAAGTTTTAAAAACCAACAATATGAGTTGGTTTATTATTTTTTTCTTTCCTAAAAACTAAAAGTTTACTCTCTTTGAGTAAATACTAAATATTAATGACCTATCATTGCAATGTCCTTTCGGTGATTTCTTTACATTTCCATATTTTATAAAGTCCACTTTGATGTACTTTCTGAGAGTAAATGTAACTTAATAATTAAATACATTATTTTCTAATCAATAAAGAAAATAAGAGAAACACTCAGAAACTAAAAATAAAGAGAAAACATGACTCCAAAGGTAAGTGGGCTCTGAAGTCAACATTGATCCTGGTGGAGGAGGGCCAGGGTCTGCTGACCCCGGATGAACTAAGCAGAGGTCAGCAAACTATCCTTCAAGTAGGAGATTCAAATGGGACCTGATCTGCCATTCCCACTACTATGTAGTATACCAAAGATTGTAGCAGAATCTCAAAAATGGGAGGCTGAATCTCAGCAAGTTTTTGTTTTTACCTGTCTCACAAGATGAGAGCTTTGTCAAGAATCAAGTTGAGTTATAAAACAATAAAGTGTGGTTGCTTAAAAAAAAAAAAAAAATATATATATATATATATATATATATATATATATATATATATATATATATATATATAATATATATATATAGATTTTTCACAAAGAGAAAGAGAGAGGGATAGAGAGTCAGAAACATTGGTGAGAGAGAATCATCAATCAGCTGCCTCTTGCACACCCCCTACTGGGGATGTGCCCGCAACCAAGGAACATGCCCTTGACCGGAATCAAACCTGGGACCTTTCAGTCCACAGGCTGGTGCTCTATCCACTGAGCCAAACCGGTTTCATCTGGTTGCTTTTTTCATGCTGATTTGTGGACGGAGACCTGTAACTCTAGCATTCAGGGTCCACTTCATTATTGTTCTTTTAAATCCCATGCTGCCTCCCAGACTGGCTCAGAGCACAAGCTTTGGAGTCATTCGGAACTGAGTTCACTCTTCCAGTTACTAATGGTTGGGAACTTGAAAAAAAAAAATTCATAAGTTATATAAATGTCTAACCACTATACTATAAATCTGAAACTAATATTGAATGTCAACTGTAATTAGGAAAAAAAGATTAAATAGACTTTAAGGAGATTTCCAGTAAGCTTTCTTAAGAACCTTCACAATGTATATAAACTACAGAGAGAAGTATAGTTCACCCTCTACATTTCCAGTCCCAGGAAAGAGTCCACATCATCCCCCATATATGCAGGTTCTAAGAACAAGTGTGTTAGGCAGTAAAGTGTTTCCAAGGGAAACCTGATTTACTCTTATTTCAATAGGCCCTACAGTCCTGCAAATCTGCCAACATAATCCCAGAAAATAACCTTCTGTTGTTCTGATGAAAACACAACCAGGGAAATCTGTTTGGGAGATAATTACCCTCTCTGACCTATTCTTTCCAAAGGCAGTGGGTAGAGTGTGAGCAATAATAGCCCACATCTTCCATCTGGTAGTTATGAAAATTTAAACTCCTGTGTCTGTGTGTGTCCGGTTACATTAAAACTTAGTACTCAGGGTGAGCTCTCTTGGCTTGCTTTTTCTGATAAGATCTGGGATAAATCATGACTCTTGGCTTGTTTCACTGATTTCCTGTTAGAGGTTGTAGACTTTATTGTTAGTTTAATATGTCTCTGCTAAGAGCCTTAGGAAACATGTTCTAGTGTTCAACTGTAGTCCCATCCTCCAACCAAATTCTTGTGATAAAACATTAATGAGATTAAACACCCAACCTACTTCTGAGGCTAGTGATTGGACAGAGCTTAGGTGGAGCCATACTCAGATATGAACCTTCTCATCTGTTCCGGCATAGTAGAAATTTCCTAACGGTGCATAATCTTCATGTATCTTTGAGGTGCATGGCTCTACCTAGGAGTCAAATGACCTGAGTTCTAGTCCCAAATTTACTACCAACTTAACTTGTGTCCTTGGTCCAACCATTTAAGATATCTGAGTAGTTGGTCTCCTCTTCTGTAGATGAAATCAGGTGCTCCCCATACTACTGCCTACCAGGTGAATAACCTGATGAGTGAAAGGCCCAAATAGTGCTCTACAGAATAGGTAAGACACTGTGCAATGGTCCCTCTGCCTAAATGCATTCAACTTCCATTATAACAGAAAAAAAGGAAAATGTGTGCAAAACAAATTTGGCGATGGCCTTCAGCTTTCAAACTCTGGTTCAAACTCTGAACCTCAAAAATCACTGAGGTCCAGTCTAGCTCTCAGGGCCCAAGATCATCCAAGCCAAGTGCACTGGACAATGAAAGCTTAGATCAAGTGTGACATCCAGTGGCCTCTCTGGCTAATAACACTTAGAGACTTTCACATAGCCTGGGAATCCTGACCTCTTAGGCACTCAATCTTTCTGGAAAGATTTCAATTGAAGAAAGGGAGCTGAAACTAACAAGCATTCTCCACTAGACTGTAGGCACTGAGAGGAACTTGTTCCATATTTCCCACCCACATTCCACAGTCACTGTCAGACTAAAATTATTACCCACCAAAATGGAACTAAGTTACCAGCTACTTTGCCCAGCTTGCAAGTAAGAAGCTGTAAATACAGTTTCACTCCTTAACCAATACTCCATCTATCATGGTCTTCAAAAACCATGTTTCCAAATTTCCATTTTTCAAATGTCTGAGGAAGGTTAAGTGATGTCAAAAAGTTAACTAGCTAGGGAAAGGGCTGAGGCTGGAATTCAAGTCTTGAGGAAGATGCACCAATTACTTTTTTTTTCATAATTAAATTTCCTTAAGGTAAATATTCTTTACCTCCACCAAGGCCTCTGAAACACAAACTCTGATAAAAGAGAGTTTGCTTTACTTCAAAGAAAAGCCCCACTCTGACAATTGGAAGATTAGAAATGAGCTTACTAACTGCTTTATACAAGAGTTTGCAGCAGAAAAAGGACAAATGAAGAAATAATAATAATAAACTTGAATGTGTAGGTAGTATCATTAGTACAGTGGCAAAAAAAATCTGACACACTTTAAGCTCCAAAGGTTTCACTCTTTACAACCTGACATAATAATTAATGTCCATAATGATGACCCTGAGTCACTACAAGCAATTATTCTTAGCATTCTATGTTTATCAAGTAAATAAATGTGTATTCTAATGTAGAAAGATTGAACATCCCAAATAATAAAAGTGAACCTTTTCTGGGCAGTTAAACAGCTTATCTCAAAGGCTGGCTTTGTTTTGCTACATTCTAACCCCTGAACACAATCTATGGCATAGTCAGATGATATCTCCTACCTGGCCAGAGATTCTTCTACCATTAGGCTCTGGTTTGTGCCAAAAATATGGTGACACTGCTCTCAAATAAGAACTAGATCCAATGTCCTTTGCCGGCTTTGTCCTAAAAGGACAACCTTCAGAAGTAAAATATTCCTCTGTCAAATTAAACAAGGAGGCCATCAGAATGAGTTGGCAGCATATATAAGCAAACAAACTGAAATCTAAACCTGTACATGCCTCCAAGTTGCCAAATAAATCCCAAGGACAACCAATCACAGACAGCCAACTAAGCTTTAAGATCTAGCCAATCAAATACTTGTTTTCACACTTTCTCTAGGTTAAGTCTTTCCCCTGACTTCTGTGAGTGAAGCACTCCTTATCACTTCGTTTGGTGCAGCCCAATTCCAATAGATTTTTGCTCAAATAAACTCTTAAAAAGTTTCGTATACTTCAGTTTAGCTTTGAATGCCTCTTATTTAAATCAGGGGAAAATTTAAATTATTATCTAGAAATTTGATTATCTAGAAAAATGAAAATAAGCCCACATGAATCCAGTAATTTTGTTCAAATCCCTCCTTATTTTCACCTATCTCATAAGATGCCTATCTAGAATTTCCTCTGATGGAAGAAATGCCTTCTCGGGCCCCTTTACTTTGTTGTTTAATTGGGAGAGGGCACCATGTTTGGCCAGTTAGGAAAAATAAAAAGTCTATGTCTAGCACAAAACTATTAACCCATTGTAGTGTCAATTTCACAAGTATACTCCATGCCAGCTATGATTGTAAGACTGCTGTGATTCATTTCTTGTTCATTCTAACAAGGGATTCTCTTCTCCACCTCTGCCTAAGAGACAGCAGTTGTCTGGCTAATAATTTGGAGCCAAAACGGGAAGCAATCGTAGATATCACCAACACGCAAAAAAAGCAAGAATCACTTGTATCATTAAATCATATTACATGCATGTATTTAGAAGACCCTAAACTCTTATCAGGGTCACTTTGCATCATCTTTGCAAGCCAGGGCATCTCCAATGTTATTGCCAAGACACTATTTGCAAAGGGCTTTGAAAAAAAATAAATGAAGAGAAATTTGCTATTTCTACAAAGGCTTCTGAGATGCCTTGATCTCAGTCATGCACAATCATTTGACATTTCCTAAATGTGTTTTAGTTTTGTCCCTGCCTCATCTTGATCTTGAATTCTCCTGGGAAACTCTTCATAGCCTCCTCCTGGGCTTTTCCCAGGGCACTATGAGCTCTTCCCTGATCTACCTTCCCCTAGAGGCTGCAAGTTTGGAAATTTTTTTAAAAATACATTTTATTGATTTTTTTTACAGAGAGGAAGAGAGAGGGATAGAGAGTTAGAAACATCGATGAGAGAGAATCATTGATCAGCTGCCTCTTGCACACCCCCTACTGGGGATGTACCCGCAACCAAGGTACATGCCTTTGACCGGAATCAAACCTGGGACCTTTCAGTCTGCAGGCCGATGCTCTATCCACTGAGCAAAACCGGTTTCGGCTCGAGAATGTGTTGACCATCATTTTATAAATATGATTATCCTGTGTTTCATTGGTTGCCTGACCAGTAACCAGAAACTCAATGAACATTTGGGAGATGAAATGAAATATACAAGGATGAATTTGGCTGTGGATGGTAGCAGGAGGTAGGAATAGCTCTAAATTTCAAACTCCTAGAAAGAACAACTTGGGGCGGGGTGGGGGTGGGGTTGTTGATGTGGA